CCCCAAAACCCCAAAACCCCAAAACCCCAAAACCCCATATAACCAGAGGCTGCTTAAATTATTAAATTAATATGGATAATTCAGAGACAGCTGCATACTTGTTTATAAATTTGGTTGAAAAAATCACTGATTTCGTTCACTCCTGAGGCAATTCTTCATTCGAGCATTTATGAAAAAGGTATCTAGGATCACTTATGAAGGAGTCTTACTCAATGAGAGAAAGAAAGGTCAAACTTGAGACAGTTGAAGCCCTTCTTTATTCTCTCAGAAAGAACAAGTTCTACAGAGAAGTATGAACTTGGATGCTTGAATTTGAAATACTTGGAAAGTTTGATCAAGATAATCAGCATGCATACATTCAAAAGAGAACTGATGAATTTCTTCTAGAAAATTCATACACAAAGATACTCTCCAAACAAAGATCTAAGTTTATCAATGATAACAAGAGATGCTACAATGAAAAGATTCAGTGAGAAAATTTAAAAATATGAAAATAAAGTCATTGAAAATTCCAGTTATAGACGTTATCAATTACGAAATCAGATAGATAAGAAAGTTTATTTGCACTTCCACTCTTATAATTACAAAGTCTACACAAAAGATTGTGCTGCTTTGGAGACTCCAAATCTGGAATATTTTGGAATTTTTAAGCCAAAGCCAAATGAATTTGGTCACCAAAGAGTCAAATATCCTGCTAAGATGGAAGCTCTGAATTTTAACAATCAAAGAATTATGGCTCCTCTTAGTATCTCCGACTGTAGATTTTTAGCCAGGATATCTAGTAGAGTTACTCATGAATTCAGTGTGTGAAGTACTCTTCTACCTTCGAAGCTACTGGCAAGGCTTCTGTCTGCATTCAGGCATGTAAGCATATTCCAGATGACGCACTGTAAAGTGATCAGCAGCCACAAGATCGATCTGAAGACTTCTATGAAAGGGTGTAAAATTGAGCAAATCAATATTACAGGTAGTAGAGGTATGGAGGATGAATCATGGGGTAATGATCATCAGAAACTGTACAATTTTGTGAAATTTTTGAGTAGCTCAGAAGACCTGAAAAATTCCCTTTATAAACTCCAAGATTATAACAATAACCTTATGTTGATGAAGACGAAAGAAAGGTTGGTTTTTGAAGGATTTCATAAACTTCAGAAAGTCTAAATTAAAATTACCATGCTTCAATATTTTTTAATATTCAGGGGTTTTGGGGTTTTGGGGTTTTGGGGTTTTGGGG